TTTCTTAAGCGTTGTAGCTATATAATTTCAAACATCCTCAAGAGCTATAACACATCTGCAGCAGAACTGGATATGAAGACAAAATTGCTGGACAGGAACACTTTAATTGTCCACTAATCTTCAGATTTCCGGCTATGTTTTAAAAAACTTTATTTGTGAAAACCTTTAGCTTGGCGGACAGCTGGGCGCCTTTGGCGGCTAGTAAGCAATAAATCAGAAGTAGGGTCGTCATTAGTTGTATGCTATCTTTCAAAAGTTTATTTGCTGCTTCCATCCCCTAATCTTGATCAAACCAAAAGAGAACTGACTGTGCAAAACATTACCTAAATTAGGCTATAATAACACAGCCCTCAATCGCTTTAAAGTTTGAACATGCTTTAAAAAAATTATAAAATTATAATGTTTTTCCAATAACACACTTTCTACAAGGGAACCACAATGAATAATTTACTTAGAATCAAAACTTATCAAAGAAAAATTGACATTATTTTCTCTTAAAAGTGGGTTTACTATCAATTGAATCTTTGACTGTCTTCAGCAACAATATGTTAATTATAATGCTTATCTTTTGAGTGAATTTTATTTTATTCTTTTATTTGTTTTTTGTAGAATCATTTGCAACTGCTACTCATAGTTTACTTCATTCAAGTTTTTTAATTATGCAAGGAAATTTCTGCTGGTGGAAAATTTCTTATTAGTTTTTGTCAATGAAATTTTAAAAAAAATAATAACCCATTGTTTGTAAATAAAAAAAAATCATTTTGGGGATAAATGTCTTGTTTAATGATTTATTCTTCACTTTTGTCTTATTCCAGCATAATTTAACCACATTTGAATTAATTGTAGTGGAAACATTGTCCCATTGTTGATAAGGCTTAAGTCACAGTTTAAAGAGCAAATTATTATATGCTAAGATATTTTTTTTTTATCAATTGACACATGAATAGAAAATCCTGATGAGGTACTTCAATTTATTTTGTTGATAGACACCAAGCTTGAATGTACACTCCAGCAAGAAAAATATACTTTATCTTTAAAGAATTTTTCTATTAGATAACTGAAATTTATAAGTAATCTTCAACACATATCTTGCCTTAATGATAGAGCGCCTGGTACATATAAGAAATGACATTACATTTTTTTAATTACAGCAAAGAAAGGTCATATTCTCTGACAGTTTTCTATAATCATCTCAAAGAAATAAAGAATCGTTAATTGTATATCTTTGGTGTTTCTGTGCCTTTAATTGCATAAAACTTCTTTTAAATTTCTGCCCAGATTTCAGGGTTTGAATAGCTTACGAATTGCACCAAACTGCTCCTAAGTGAAATTTCTGCTTTAGAATGGCATTCTCCCCCCCTAAACGTCTTCAGCAAGAAATGCAACTTTGTTGCTGAATTGTAACTGGTCATATATAATTTTTAAAAAAAAATAAATATTGCTCAGAAGTATAAAAAATTTATTTTTTTTCTGTAAAATTTTTAAATGCAATCATTCTTGTTGTAGGGGATCAAGTATCTCATAAAGGAGCTTTAACTGGTGGTTATTTTGATACAAGGAGATCGAGATTAGATTTGCATAAAGGACATATGCAAGTTGTGACCGAAATAAATGAACAAGAAAGGCAGTTGGCTCAGCATCGAACCACGCTGACAAATATCCTTTTCTTACTTTATTTTTTATACTTTAGTCTTTTATTTTAGCTTGTTCATTAATATTGGATGTATGGAAATTATTAATAATTATTATAATTTTTGTAATTTTTTCTTTTTCTCTGAAAATGCATTAAGTATTATTTTGTAATTTTTTCCATTGTTCATTTAAATACAGTAATTCATAAATATTTTTTCGTTTCTTTTAATTATTATTGTAATTAATATTTTTTTCATTGTTTTACTGTTTATTAGATATAACAACATTGCACATTGTTTTTTTTTGCTACCTGAACAAGATTCTTCCCTTCTTGCTAAACATGTTTTTCATATTTTTTTTTAATGTTTATTAAAGCTGCTGTAGTTAATTATGTATAAATAAGTTGTATTTTTATACATCCAGAATTACTTTGACCCTTTTTTGTCTTTTTGCATAGTGAAAATGATTTTATATTTTACTAATAAATAAAGATACTGTAGTAAATTATATATACTTAAGATTTATTTTTATGGATTTAGAATTACCTTGACTCTTTTTTTACATATTGAAAGTGAAATTAATAAAATTGTCAGTGACATGCAGAAAGCAGAAACCAAAAATAGTAAAAATAAGTAAGTAAAACAAGTATTTTTGTTATTTCATCTTCATTTAAATATTGTTGTTGTCGTGTTCATGGATGCGGGTTATTCACTAGATGGCATTAAAGGAGCGTTTAACTGCAGACCTCGTCACCTCGGAGCTATAAAAGATAATTGTAAGATATTTAATGTCTCCGTTGCATACTTAATCACCATCAGCCCGGAGATAAGCCTTTGGCGTGTCAGCTATCCCCAGAGGGCAGATGGGGGACTGCCTTCATTGGGTGGTAGAAGGGAAAAGATATACCCTCCGCAGACCAGCAGGCAGAAATCCAACCTTTAAAGGCAATCTTTTCCATGGATAGTCATAAATCTTTATTGTTATTTATAAGTTTTTTTATAGTTTTGTTTTGAAAAACTTTATCACTGATTATTTAGTTTTTTACTTCTTTTTTTTTATTTATTTATTTTTAAGCAGAAAATTTATTCTCGTTCAGAAAACAATGACTTTTTTTTGTTTTAAATTAGTTGTACTGCTGCATTCTTCGATGCCAAGGAAAAGTGTTGGTTGTCATATAGTAAACTCTCTTTGTTTTAGACTCTGAAAAAAGACAAATTCTCCTTAAAATTTTGTGTACACAAACCTCAAATTGATTATGTTTTCCTAATTTGATGGAATCTGCCGAACACAAAAGTTATTTGACAATAGCAGAAATCTTAACAAAACAAAAATTTTAATGTCTTCTTTTTCTTTCTGAAATTTAGTTTTGATCCTCATTTGTTATGAAAACATTATGATTAAATAAAGTTAGTTTAAATAAAATCAGGATTTCTTAGAAATTAAATGAGATATTATTTTTTAATTTGTTTAAAGAAAATTTAAATTAATAATAATTTTTTAGAAATTTAATTTAACTTTTTCGAGGCTATTTTTGAATTAGTTTTTGATTTGAAGTTAATGAGTAGAGAAATCTTTGCCCCTGGGTTGTAGGTTCTGTATCATTTTCAAGAAGTTATATTATTGATCAGTTGATAAATTTTGTTTTTCTATTTAAGGGATGTGTTTGACAAACTGAAGACAGACATCCGTTTGATGAAAGAAGAAGTAGCTGCTTTAGATAGATCACACCAGCCTAAGGTAATGCTCTCAGTTAAAATGTTTGTTGTCTGTTGTATGATTGAGAAATAGTCTATGTCAGTGTTTCGCAAAGTGTGGTATGTGTACCCCCAGGGGTACGGGAACAGTTTAGCGGGGGTACGCGTTCTTATGCGAAATATCTTGCACCAAATGAAAATCTCAAAATTTTTTATTTAAAACTGAGCTAGCCATGAAAATTTATGATTACGTATTTTTCTATTGGCTATTTTTTGCAGAGTTAACAGTTAACAATTAGTAGCGTCAATAGCCAGTTGTGATTTTTAACTTTTGTGCAATTCTTTTATAGTAAAAAATACATTCATTTTTTTATTAGTGGTACACAGCGTTATGAAAAATTTAGAAAGGGTACACAAAAGTCATAAGTTTGGGAAACACTGATTTATGTGAATCAAAGGAGTGAGGAACTGTCAATTGAGTGGTCTTGTTTTAGTTTAAAATATCAGTGATACACAAAAAAAAATTTAATGCTTTTAGTAGATATTTTCTGGTTTAAAAAAAGAAAAAAAATATGTTCTTTTTCCGTACGAACAACTATGCATAGACATTTTTATAATTCTTAACAAAAAAAAGTTTTTAAAAAAATTATACACATTAGGAAATATTTAAGTGAGAAAGAAACAAAAATCCTTTCAAAATCTTACAAATCATAACTCCTGAAGACAAGTGTAAAAACCTTTAACCCTGTCCAATAGCCAGGAGAAAAAGAGAAGTATTTTTAGAAGCACCTGCAAGTTTCATCAAGCAATCAAGATCGTTTTGAATGTTTTTCATCCACCTTTTTCACTAATTATTCAACAGATTTTAGTTGTGTTTTTGTTTCTTTATTTAAATATTATTTTGCTACCACCCAACAACATACTTTCTTTTGAAAAATGTACTATATTAATAACAGTCATTATGGAATTTTGTGTATTTTTTAAAATTAAATAAATTTGAAAAGTTGTCAATAAATGTTGAGGTGAAAAATTAGGTTGCATATAATAGAGAATAAATTTTATAATTTTTTTTATACAGAATAATTGGGATTTGAAGCTGGTTTAGCTACAGTACTACATACTCTACTTCAGTCCAAATTATTGCCAATTGTATGTTATGTATGTAATTAATTGTATTGTATGAGAGTATTGTAATTTAATAGTTAACTATCAGAATTCTGTGTTAATATATAAACAAACCTCATAATTCATTGCTATTGCTCCTTAACTTAATGGCAGTCACCCACATATTGGGTGCCTGAAAAATAACCAACAATTTGAAAAACAAATTTAAGAAAACTTTAAAGGGGTAAAAGAGTTTTGCTTGGTAAACCAATTTTTTTGTATGCAAAAATTTCCAAAATAGTTACGAAGTGTATCAGCTGGTAACTGTAAAAAAAATTAATAATTTTGACATTTTTGTTGTACAGGTTTTTTGGCATTGCTGTTTGTAAATGCCTGATTACCTGTAAATTGTAATTGGGAAAAAAACAAAAAAAAAAAACAGCAAAACGAATGAAGTGTTTGTTTGATGGTGAAAATTTGTAAACAATTGGTAAATTTCTGTTTGTTTTGTTTCCTTTTTCCTAACACGTTGTGAATTTAGAATACTCGATTATTGATCAGAATTTAATTAATTTAAGTTATTTAAACCATAAAATAAGCAGAAAAAACTAAAACATGTTTAGTTCAAAGGTTATAACTAGCAGAAAAAATAGCATGGTTTTTAAAATTTTTTGTAAATGTAAGGTGCAATGTATGAAAATATTAGGTAGGTACTTTATATACGTTGTACTAGAGCTGCACAATGGGCTGTTGGTGACGGTCTGCGAAACATCCCTGAATATGAACCGAAGACGTGCCATCGCAATTTTGATTCGATGCAGAGAGGTTTGCTGCCCTGCTTTGGTGAATGGTTTATTCAATTTTTTGTAAATTTAAGGTGCAATGTATGAAAATATTAGGTAGGTACTTTATAAACGTTGTACTAGAGCTGCCCAATGGGCTATTGGCGATGATCTGCGAAACATTCCTGAATATGAACCGAAGACATGCCATCGCAATTTTGATTCGATGCAGAGAGGTTTGACGAGTACTGATGCCGCACATCCTATTTCCCTATGCAGGCTGGTCTAAGTGGTCACTCACTCCCTTACTAGCTGCAGCCAGTGATGCTTGACTT